GGGGGGGGGGGGGGGGGGGGGGGCACAGTGGCAGCAGCAGGAGCACGGCAGTGGTGAGGGGGAGAGCTCCTGCAGACGCCGCTGGTGCTGTCGGCAGCGGTGGCGGGGGAGGTGGCGAGTGCTGACCAGGGGTCGGCTACCACCCGCAGACGCCGCTGGCAGTGTTGGTGGCGGCCAGAGGGAATCACAGAGAGCGGCACCTTTTTGTAGGGGGTGCACCACCATGCTCAGGGGGTGCGTGTGCATCTGTGTGCACCCCCTACGCATCACCCCTGCTGTGCTGGACTCTTTCTAAACTGTTCACATCTTTCTTGAAGCATTGGGCCCAGATCTGGAAGGCCTCAGCAACACCAAACAGAACAGAAGAATCACTTCCCTTGATTTGCAAATAACACTCCTGTTAATACAACCTAGTATGCTGTGATCTTTTTTGCAACAAGGGCACATCGTTGGCTCATGTTTAGTTTATAGTCTACTGTAACCCCCAGGCCCTTCTCAGCAGCACTGCAGTCTAGCCAGTCATTCCCCAGTCTGTACGTGCAATTATTCAGTCCAGTGGTGGCGCACACGGGGTGCACGTGCACCCCCTGAGAGTGCTGGTGGACCCCCTGACAGGCCACATTCCCCGCTTAGGTGGCAGGCAGGGGGGCAGGTGGGAGCGCCAGTACCCCCTGCAAGCACCACGGCCACTTCTGGGAGCACTGGATGAAGTGCCATGGCCACTCCTCCCCCCCACCCCCGATGCCCCTGACTAAGATGGCACCAGTTGCCCATGATTCAGTCCTGGACACAGGACTTTGCACTTGTCCTTGCTGCATTTCATCTGATGTTGTTAATTTCCAACATTTAAAGTGAGGAAACAGCAAATGTCTTTGGACTCTTTTCAACCCTGGAATTCAAATGTACACATGAGGAGCTTTCAGTAGGGGTAGCTGCAAGTCAGGACTGGAGGCATAGGCAGAGCAGTGTTTGTGGAGGCCAGGACTGCAAGGGAAAAGAGTCAGAAGTCTGGTAAGTTCCCAGGTGATCAGAGCTATTCACTTTTGTTTTCTCTGCCTTTCAGTTACAAATAGTCAAGGAAGTAATTAGTGGAGAGGAAGCAGGAAGAGCAGATAGTTCCTCACCTCTTCACCTGCCCCCTCAGTTTAAGCCTGTTCTTCCCCTGCTCCCCGTGCACCTCAATTATTCATTAACTACAAATCAGGAAGTGATTTACAGATGGTAGAAAGGAAGCCTCTTGCCCTGCACCTGCACCTGGCTGCCTGATCTTGGGTCTCCTCCTCCTGCTGCCCAACCCCCAACAACAGTGATCTATCCTCTGAGGACATCCAAGGCTGGTGAGGTAAATTGATCACCAAGCCTTTCCTATCCAGATTAGAGGGCATTCAGTCAGGGAGCTTTTACCAGCCCCGGTCTAGAAATGTTAAGACTTTCCTTCCAGGGTCTATGGAATTAGCCATGCCAAGCGTTCCCCAGAGCCCTCAGAGGCTGCTCCTCTCTCTGGGTTTGTAGATCCTTTGGTCCTTCAGCTGCTTCCAGAGAGTTGTTAAAATGTCACTGATGCCTCCACTCGTTTCTCTGTCCTTCAATAGGAACATCTGGCTAAGGATTGATGCAGGGCCACCTCTCCAGCATTTATTAGCACTTCCTTCTCAGTGGGGACCCCTGGGTCCAAAGTCCTGATGTCGTCCTGTGGGTGAGTGTGTTTCACTGTTGGCTGTTTCATGCCTTTCAGCTCCTAGGTTTAAAATTAGGTTGATAAGAGAAACAAAAAATATAGGAAGTGAGAGGCAGATCCTGGAGGGAAATGGACGCCTTAAGAGGACTGGGACTGTAAGGGGCTGGGATGATGGTGCTCAGCAGGGTGTCAGTATTATTGCCGACCCTTGTAAAGAGAGACCTGCTGCAATAATTCTGTCCTCCTCTGTGACCTCATCCCCTCACAGAGCTTGTACGCAGTGGGGATGCAGGTCATCTTTCTTATTTAACACATGGGAAAACAGCAGGGAAAGAATTTGTTCCAGTCACACTGTAAGTCAAAGTCAGAGCTCCATATAGAGCCCAGGGGTCCTGGCTCCCAGTTCTACCTGCTCTCCCCCTCCAGATGCTACACCCCTCCCAGAATGGGGCACAGAGTCCTCAAGCTCTGATACACATCTGAATGCTTCATCTGATAAGGCTTCGCCATGACAGCTATGCAATGTGCATAGCTGGCTTCATTTTAGACTCACTAGCCCAGTGCCTACCTAGCCACAGTGGTGCAGAACTCAGCATGTGCTGCAAAGCCTGTTTGAGGAGCTAAGTACTTGAGTTGGTCATCCCTGCTGAGTTCTGCGTTGCCATGGCTGCACTGTTAGCACAGCTCAAGCTAGCCAGGAACTACTAGAGTGTAAATATATCCTTACTCCAACAGCACTGCCGGGATTCACGTTCAGAAAGGTTTCTCTGCATTCAAAATGTCTGGAAACCAAATGACAAGTGAGATGGAAATTCTGCAGTGGGGTGTGGAAACCTGGGATCTAGGCGTCGTCCCCCCACACACACCCAGCACACAAGGAGTTAAACATCACATGGTACAGTTGTCAGTGAGACTGGAAGGGGAAGTCCTGGGGGGGGCCTCTCCTTCCTTGCATCCCACTGAGGACACAAGGGAATGCCCCCCTTCTTTGCCCCCCATCTCTCTCCCACCATCCTCCTTCCCCACCAGAAGGAGGAACCCAGCAGAGCATTGACTAGGGCTGGTCAGGTTGGATCAGCACAATGATCCATTGTCCGGTATCCTTTGTGAGAGCTTCCAGACAAGCTGGTACAGAAGAAGGAGCAGGACACACCCTATCTTATTGTGGAATAAACTGTCTCCAGCAGACATTTCTTCTCAGCTCACCTCAGTGGTGGCTCATGCCTTCTACCCCTTTATATATTCTTCTTTGTTGTAGCTAGAGCTGTTTTTTTTTAAATCCGTACATGAATCCTTTGTGTGCCCTGGGCTTCAGAGATAATTAGCTGCATTAAATCCACAGATTAATAGCTTTGTGTAACATTTTTTCCTTGCATCAGTTTTACATTAGCCATCTTTCAGTTTTACTGACATTGCCTTGGCTCTTGTGTGATGAGAAATGGTATATATTTGGTCGGTATATATATGCTTCACTTTTACTATTCCAGTTGTTATGAAACACAGGTGCTGGGCACTGACCTGCTTTGTCAGTTTGGACAAGTGATTTCCCCTCTCTGTACCTCAGTTTCCCTCCTGTCCTTTCTGTCTACTTAGCCCATAAGCTGGTTAGGGTCAGGAGCTGCCCCTTTCTCTGACATGTGTGTACTTTGCCTAGCATAGTGGTTCTCAACTGGGGTACCATGGCACTATGGGGTGCCGTGGGATCTTTCTAAGGGTGTTTCATAGTTTCACAGTTGTTAGGGGCTGGAAGGGACCTTACAAATCATCGGGTCCAGCCCCCCTGCACATGAGCAGGAAAGACTGCTGGGATCAAATGATCCCAGCAAGATGGGCTTGGGAGGTGCTGCACAATATTAGCACTGTCAGGTATGCAAACACCTACACATGATGCACTATATAAACCCAAATATTTCAGTTAGGAATCCACACTGTCAAAAGCATTCTGACTTGTTATGGTGTTTCTCAGTTACAAGAGAAGAATTGCTCTGTCATCTGTCTATAGTCAAAAAACGAGAGAAAGTGAAAAGCTGGGATTTTCCCAGGGATTTGTTTGTTCTCCATCTTATTTTATGCATCTGAAAGCAGAGTTTATGTTTTGGGTAGCTATTGCCCAGTACACAGATTCTCAATGATGCTTCACAAAGATGCTCATCTTACGGTTGATGTGGAACTCTGTAAAGGTGTGTGAGCAGTCTAGAAAATCCTGTCCAATATGAAAAACCTTTCACTAGTAAGCCGTGGATTTAATCTACTGCCACACTGTCCATTCATCTTGCTTGGTAGGGTTCATCTGAGGTTTTCTTCCCCATTTTCTCCAGCCTTGAGTAATGCAAAAATGTTGTTTCATCTGTAAACTTAGCTTGTTCACTTGTCTGGCTTCTTTTCCAGTGCAGTCATGAATGTATTGAATAAACAGCAATCCCAGTGTAGAACTTCATGGGTCTTCTTGAAAATTGGCCATTTATTCCTACTCTTGTATTTCTCTTAAAGTTTCCACTTCAGGACAGTGCACCTCTCACCCCATGCCTCATCTGAGGTATTTGGTCAGCCACTTCTCCTGAATCCACTACCCCATTGACTTGTTCAAAGAACTCCATCGGGTTAGAGAGGCCCCATATTCCTTTGCAAAAGCTGTGTTGGTTTTTTCCTTCCACATTATGAGCCAATGGGGGCTTAATTCTGTTTTTAATTATTCCTTCTACACCAGGAAACTTGGGAGAAATAAGGGTCCTTACTGTGTGATTTCCAAGAAGAATCACACCTAGTGACTTTTTTTAAAGGATGGTCCCATTTGCTGCCATCCAGGGCACTTAATGAGGTTGCATATTGTTGCTAAGAAGTTGCATATTCCTCTTTGCATTCTCAGATATTGTGGATGGACCATCTACTCCCAGCGCGTTCTTCCTCTTCACTCATCAATTTGTTGGAGCATCTTTCTTTCTGAGAACTCAGTCTCTGACTGCCTCAGTTTTATTACCAAAATAAGCAGGTTCTTGGTGGTGAAGACTCATTCAGAGAAGTTCCTTTTCTGTAACAGTTCAGTTGTTCCTTTCAGCTGTTGGGGGACTAGCAGACCTGCTGGTTGCCTGGGGTTCCTGCAAGTGATATAAGTGTGTGTGTTGGGTGGGGGGTGTGACTTATTTGACTGTGTATCTTTGGTTGTTTGGGCTACTCTTTCCTCTCTCAAGTTCCCTTTTGCCTGCAGCAGTATATGCCACTTTCTGTTGACAACATTGGCCTTGGATTTCCATGTTCTGAAGGATGTCTCTGAGGTTCAAAGAACCCCTTGGCCCTTGCCATTTAGTCACCCTGGCTTATTCTTTACCTTTCTGCTTTCTCTCTTATTTAAGGGTCTGCCTCTATTCTGGAAATCTTTTTAAGTGCCTTAAATATCCTTCCTGGTAAACCTAATTTCTTTACCTTTAATTTCAGCGATTTTTGACCTGCTGCTTCATTTACTGCTCCTATACTAGTTTTGGTATGGGCTTAATGCAGAGATCCTGGGTGAATTTCTTTGTCCTATGTTGAGCCTGAGGTCAGATTACAGGAACAGAACAGTTCTTTTGGGCCTTAAAACTTCTGAATTTACAAGCTTAATTTTATTATGGTAACCATTATTTAGTAACTTCATCACACTCTTTTCTCAGTCTAAGTCTATAAAACTCAGCTAAGAAGAACATCTCCTTGGCTCTGCTTCATTGTTCCAGGAAGCAATCCTTTAAGGTACCCAGTAGCTGCTCCTCTTGGCCTTATATTTTCCCAGTTCACATGTGAGTAGTTGAAATCACCTGTTAGTGGCATGTTATTAAATTTTGTAGCTTCTTTGCTCTACATCACCATTTTGCTGAGCTGGAGGCCAGTAGTGCAACCATATTTGTTGTCACAGGAGTTGAGGTTTGTATCCATATGGATTTCAACAGATGGGCTGCTCTGCTCACAATTGTTTGCCATAATACGATGGGGGCCAAGCTTTTTTGCCATAAACTAGCCTCGCACCCTCCCCCAGTGCCTCTCTGATCCCTTTCTCCTGCCTGATTGGCTGTTCTGCTTTCTGCTCCCAGCCCTGTGCTCCCTGCCTGATTTGCTGCTTTCTGTTTCCTACCCTGTCTGCTGTCCTCTCCCCAGTCTGCTGTGCCACACACAGAGCCTGTTCATACTTGTTGTGTGTACCCCTGACACAGACTGGCCACCCCAGTCCTAACAGATGTTTCTGAAGTTACTGGTCATAGCTCAGCTCCCCAGGATCTGCACACAACAGGAGAAGGTTAAACACAAAATTTATTTGAACTGAAATGCCCAGCTGTGGAAGAGGAGTTTGCTAATCCCCAAACTTCATGACTGTTCTGTGCCAGCAGCATCACTTTTGGTTTGGCTGAAGTGCAGTCCATTCCTGTATTGGTTTCCCTATCCCACAAATTCCTCATCGTCTAGATAACTAATGTTAATACTTTCATATACATATGCTGAGACTGGAGTTTCTCTTGCCTTGCTGGTCTTTTGTATGAAATAGAGATATTTCAGGGGAAGCTAATACTGAGGTTCATGCGTTCTTTCTAACAATCAAATTCAGCTTCCTGGATGCATTCCCAACACTTCTCTTTGTCATTGTTTCAGTATCTGTTATGACCACAAGCTCCTCTTCAGCAATCACTAGTAGTGTGTTTTGCAGGATCCATCAGCTTTCCACCTAGATAGAAAATCTCTAGCTATATTTCTAACAATCAAATTCCCAGCCACCACTACCTGTCTGCTGTTCCCCTGTCCCAGGGGGTGGAGCAACTTGTTTGGAGGATGAGGATTGATCAGCTTTACCCCTCTACTTCTGCTGTAAGGTGGATTCCATCTCTTCGACATTTTCTCTGTCACAAGACTGGCTTCCTCAGTCCTGAGGTGGGTTGGCTCTGACACAAGACTGGCTTCCTCAGTCCTGAGGTGGGGGGGCTCTGCCATATGCTGTAGCCATCAATAATTCTTTCTTTCTACTTCTTCAGTTCCACAACGTCAGCCTCAGCAAGCTGTGTCTGGACTCTGCAGGCCCCAAGTTGCTTGCACGTGGTGTTACATGGGCCCCCTAGTTATTGAGTTATATATTGGGCACTCTGAGCAGTAACCCAGGCTGATGATACTAAGCTCCTGCACTTCTTCTCTCTGGAAAGAAGGTTGATGCCATGGACCATGTAAATGGGCAGTTTTTTTGTTAGAGTGCTAAATTGGGATTCAGGAAACCTGGAGTCGGTCCTCACCTTTGCCACAGAATCCCTCTGGGGCATTACCCTGTGCCTTAGGTTCCCACAGGGACCATAGGGTTAAGAGTTATCTCACTAAAGCGCTGTGAGGATGACTTAATGAACGCTGACAAGGTGTTCAGGAGCACCAGATTTCCAGCAAGACAGTGGAGAAAAGCTGAGTACAGCCTTGGCTGCTCCCAGACCTGCAAGCAATGGTTTGATCTGTGGCAACCCTACCACAGAAGGGAGAGCACTGAACTGCTGGGTGGAAGAGGAGGCATTTGCTGTTTGCATTACCTGCAGCTGTGGCCCCAGGCAGGTTTCAATGCTGGTGTGATCTGCTTGTCACCATTGTAAGAATTTTTGTCTTTGGTGGGAAATGCACTATTAACTGTGTAAGCAGGGGAAGGCTTACAGAGTCAAAAGTGGCCCATGGAGGAGCTCACCAAATGAACCGCACATAAAAAAAAAACCCTGAAACAAACCAAGAATAACTGAGTGGGGGAAAAAAACACAAAAGGAGAAGCAGAAGTTTGTGCAAAGCAGCACAAAGCAAAGGAGCTGGTGCCTCGTCTATGCTTCCTGTTCCCTGAGTTGTGCGCCGTCTAAGCAGCGCACTTGTCTTGCTTCTATCTGTCCCTGCAACAGGGAGGGAGTGAGCAAGCTGAGGAAGGAAGGGGAAACAGAGTCAGAGAGGCTGATGGACTGAGGCAGAGAGCAACGCTGACAGGCAGATGGACTGCGAGATATAGATGGCCAGAGCTAGAGCTGCGCAGAGAGAGCTTGGTGCCGGGGACTCCAGCAGAGACATCAGACTTCCCTTTTCTGGCCGGCATTAAAAACTCTTCTTTTTACACTTTTCAAGTTCCTTTGGTGGTAACTACACAGCCCTCCCTTTGTTCTGCCTCGACAATGGTGAGGTAAGAGAGGAGCCAAGAACACAGGGGTGGGGTGGGTAAAGGAGGATCATTCTACTAGCTGCTTCTCACCTGACTCCTGCGAGAGCCTTTCTTGGGGCTGCCTTGGGGTCCAAGCCCTGGGATCCATCGCTTATGCTGCATCTCATCACTTCTCATAGCACCCTTCTCAGCGCCTGTCAGAGGCCATGCTACTCTTCGCACAAACCTCTCACAGGGACTCTGTATTTTTGTATTTTGTCCCTTCTTTCTCCCCATTTTGCTCATGCTTACCTTTTTTTCTCTTTTCCCCAGGTGGTTTCACCGTGACTTGAGTGGAGTAGATGCTGAGGCCTTGCTAAAGGGGCGGGGAGTTCATGGAAGTTTCCTAGCTAGGCCCAGTCGAAAGAACCAGGGAGATTTCTCCCTTTCTGTCAGGTAGGTACTCGCACTTTGCTGCCTGCCATCCCTGGAGCATGTGGGATACTTTGAACTCCAGCAGTGTTCCCAAGGTGTATACTGAACTGTGGTTTCCAGGCCCATGCATTCCTCCCTGCATCTTAGCCCTTCTACCCTATGCTACCCCAGGGATATGTTAGAGGCTTCTCTGTGACCCTCCCTCCAATTCCCTAGCCCTGCTTGCACAGTCCACCCTGGGACACCTGGGGGCTGTACTTGTCCCTTCCTTTCTTCTGACTCTCGCAGCCCTCCTTCACCAGGCTTCTCTCTGCCTTATCCCTCAGGGTAGGTGACCAGGTGACCCACATCCGTATCCAGAACACTGGGGACTTTTATGACCTCTATGGAGGGGAGAAGTTTGCAACCTTGTCTGAACTGGTGGAGTATTACACGCAACAGCAGGGCTCACTACAGGATAAAGATGGGACTGTCATAGACCTGAGATATCCACTGAACTGCTCGGATCCCACGACAGAGAGGTATGGAGAAAACACCTGTGCCTGGGAGGCTAATGCCTTCCCCAAAGCCTTCTTGCACCAGCCCCTTGAATTTGCTGGTCCATGAGTTAGCCCCGCTGAAATTCCCATTTATACCCTGGAGGCACTCCCTTGGCACAAGACTCCCCGGGACCCCTCCCTCAGTGTCTTTTTGCAAGGAGGTCTCTGATGTTCATTGGCATCATAAAAAGTCGAGGTGGAGGGGCCCTCAAGGTCACCCAGTCCGAGCCCCTGCTCAAGGCAGGATCATTGCTGTCTTAGCCATCCTAGACAAGTGTTGGTTTAACCTGCTCTTAACTCCAGGAACAACCCTTGTGCACAACTGCCAGGCACAATGCCCCCAACATCAAAAATGCCCTTTAATTTACTACAGGTGAAGCAGGAGGGTGAGGGTATTGTCAAGGACAGGAAGTAGTTTGTTCAGTTGGGGCCCTGTTAACATTCAGTGACTTGGTCTTCCTTTGCCTATTTGCTATTTATATCATGTTGCTAAAAGTGAAAATGATGGTGTTAGCAACAAGTCGGAAACTGCCTAGAGTATAAGACAATCCCGTGCGTGCGAGCCCTGCTGTCCTGACCCACAACCCATGCTGTTCCCATCCCAGGCTCCTTGCACAGCTCTGCAAACAGACTACAGGCCTAGCTGTTCCTGTCATGCCTGGTCTTCCTCCTCTCCCCTATTTGCATGTGTCTCTGACACTGAGTTCCTAAATCAAATGAGGTGGTATTTGCTCTGTGCTGTGCTCCCAGCCCTGGCGCTGTTGTGCTGCTGTTCCATTGCAGCGGGGAGCAGCCCTGGCCTGCCCAGCGCGGGGTCGGGGTCCCAGGCCATGCTCACTCGGGGAGGGGGACAGGGTCCCCTGTGGGGAGCAGGCAGGTTCCCCGAGCTCACACGGGGGCAGGGCTGGGGCCCTGTGCTGGGGGGGCAGTGTGCATGCTGCTTGGTGTTTCTGTCCCCTCCAGTCAAGGCCGTTGGGCCGTGGCTCTGCAGCTTCCTCCCTTCCCCACTGCGGTTGGAAACTTCCCTCCCCCCAGCTCTTACGAAAGCTCCTTTCTCACTCTCTCTCCCCAAGAGATTTTCCATCACGTGGTTTCCCTAAGCTGGGGGAGGAAGGGGGGCAGAAGGGGGTAGTTAACTCTTTGGCAGCCAGAACCCCAGCCCTGCCTTGACACATGAACCTCGCTTCAGGCCAGGGGGCGTCCCGGGGAGGGAAGGAATTGGAGACACAGGCTGGCTAGTGTGGAGCTGCAGCTTTCTCCATCTTCTGCAGAAACTCATGTCCTGATCTAGTTATGAGGGTTAGGGAAAAAAAAAAAAGATAGTGTCTTTGTCATGTCACAAGGGTCAGTAATCACCTACTTCTCTGTGCCTGTGTGATAATCAATGGAAAATAAAGCACAGTACTGTCCAAAAATAACTGAAGCTTAATAGGCTACAGATTGTAGCCAGATTGGTCTACAGGCAAAAGGAATCAGAACCCGTGGTAGCAGTGATATCCAGGCAAATCAGCCCATGTGGGCCGCCACCCCTCCCCCAATCCCACGGGCCCCGGACCCAAAGAAGCTGCAGCATCAGTGGCTGGTGGGGAGGGGGGTAGCAAGTGGCTGGACGCAGAGCCACCACTTTGCCCAGCTCTGCACCGCTGCTGCTCTGCTCAGCTCCACGGGGCCCCCCAAAGCACAGGGCATGGGGCGGTTGCTCCGATTCACACCCCCCCTAAGGATGGCCCTGGCAATATCTTTTAGTAGAACAACTAGATATCTGCAAAAAAAAATCTTTATTTGCAAGCTTTTGGGCGCACAGACCCTTCGTTAGGCATAGGAGAATGCAAAGATTGTAAAAGATCTCCTAGGTGGAAATGAAAATCCATATTTCACAGGAGAGCTGAAGGTGTTGTAAGATCTCCTGGTTGGAATGGTTTATTTTGTGCAAATTAGGCTCAGGTAAAAACTTTAAATTTCCACCTACGAGAAATTTTACAATCTTTGCATTCTCCTATGTCTGAGGAAGGGTGTGTGTGCCCGAAAGCTTGCAAATAAAAAATATTTTTTGAAAATATCTAGTTGGTCTAATAACTGAAGCTGAATGGCTCTCTGATGACACAGCCACTCCTGCTTTCAGGATACTTCCTGCTGTCCCCAAGTTGCCCAAAGACCACTCTGTAACAAGTTCATCCACAATGCTAAATTACTACAGCCCCTTGCCGTGGTAGAAGAAATGCTGGGGATTGTCTGAGGCTGTCTATACTTCCAGAAATGTGTTTCTGGGCTGAAACTATTCATGAGAGAAATAGACCATGAACAAATGGAGTCTACATTACAGAATCCGCTAGGCCAGAGCATTGCCTGGACTCCTGAATCACAGAATTAAACTTCAAACTCCTACTTAAGGGTCTGACTAAGGATAAGCGACTGCAGTGTTGTGTGGGCATAACCAAACTAGTTTTAAACAAGAATCTACTTGTAGCAGTGGAGCTGTGGCAGTGCGGATCTCTTGATTTAGGCTGCTAAACCCATTCAAGAAGGGGGGTGAGCGCTCACATAGTTAGCTTAGGCTGAGCGTCCTGCTGCCATACTATCCCCATCTTAGGCAGTTGAAACCTACATTGGGCATGTCTGCAAGAGCTGCAGTCACACTTTGATTAAAGTATAGATAGTCTCATTGTGCAGACTGCAAACCCATTGAGAGGGTTATGTAGTCAAGATGACCTGTGACTAGTGGAAATAGGAAGAGGAGTTTGAACTGAATAGGATTCAGGGATTACCTGCTTTTGAAGCAAAATTTGACAAGTTGAGATGAGAAACACAGAACAACTGAGCTCACAAGCACTTGAGAGAAATGTTCAAGCTGGAAGGGGAAGAGATGCAGCTTTGATATCTCCTAGCATCTGCTCTGATTGGGGCCGTCCAGATGAAATGGCAGGATTCTGTGCTGGGGAGAGCGTGCGGCACTGCAATGCAACACAAGGTTGGAGATGCTGAATTGAACAGCTGGCTACCAGCTTGGGACCATGGGGAAAGGAGAGCTGGAGGTGACCACTCCAGCCTGGCCTGAGTGCCGCACGTGCACTCATGAAGAAACCATCCACATCCCCTACTGGGTGTCAGCTCAGGAACCAGAATGCAACAGAGACACTGAAGGCACAAGAGAGGCCTGACTGCCTGTGGCCTGAGGTGGGCCCAGCCCTACTCGAACTACCTGGGATCCTCTCACTAGCAAACAACTGCTCAGGTGGTTAAAACCCTGAATGTTATGTGTCAACCGCCCCTTGTTCTGGGCCTCCGGCCCTGGTGATGGCCTGCACCTCACAAATAGCCCCAGCTCCTCCTTGCAGGGTAGTCCCACCCTATTCTCCAGCTGAGAAGCTGGTAAAGCAGCCAAAAGCTGGAGGCCTTCTTAAGACAATGTCCTGGCAAATTCAAGAGTTCTAGGTTTAATGACCTAACACCACAGCAACTCACCTCACAAGGATCCTTTGTTACCAGTTCACCAGGAGGCAGAAATCTTAGTGCCACCATCTAACAAATGTCTGCGGTCAGGAACCATCAACCCTTAACCCTGCGGGGGCTGCCAAAACCATGGAGCCAGAAACAGCATCAGAAAAAAGGTTGGGACAAGGGAGCTGAAGAGTTTCCCTCTTGTATGTGAGAGAAAACATTCACCCCAAGCAGGGAGGAGCTGGAATGCTTGTCACCAGTGGTGCCATCTGCGCTGATATGGCGTCAGAGGCACTCGTGAAGATCAGTCCTACAGCAGGAACATAACATGCGCACCAGCAAGGGATTGCCACTAGCTCACTGTGCCAAGAGGAGACAGGATGCTGCTGAGAGGCCTTATAGTCTGGAGGTAGGAACATACACCCTCTCCAAGTCACGGGCATTGGCTACCATGGGCAGGCAAGCAGGCAGATCCACCTCAAAGGCCAAACAAGTTACTGAAGAAGGAACCACTGTGGAAATAGGAAGTGGATGTGTGATCAGAAAGCCATTAAAGGTTCAAAGATCAGAGGTGCTGACAGATACCAAGTGGAAGTCCAAAATAATCCTCTTATCAGGTTATTTGCTCTGATGACCATTGAGTGTAGGCACCCCTGTCTGGTCGCTGCTGTTGTACTGATTGCATTAGCTTCAGGTTGCATTGTGTATCAGTTTGTTTTTGTATTATGCTTCCTGTATAGTCACTGGAGTCCCTGGATACCATCCCCCTGCCATGCCCAGCAGTGCACTGCTGGTTCTTTGGACTGCGTGCTGACCCCTATGTGTTACTATCAGGTCCAAGCCATGAAATACAGCTTTGTTTCTTAGTAGCACCCTACCCTGCATGCCACATGGTTATTACATGTCTCCCTCCCATTTGGCTACCCTACAGCTCAGGCTCATGTGTCCTACCTTTCTTTCTCTTTTCTTCCTTTCCCAAGGTCCAGGCAGTCCTGTACTCTTGGCTCCACTCGGTCCCAGACACCTTCCATGAATCGCCTTGCAACTCCCTCTCCTTCTGTCTCATAGCCCCTCCTGGTCTGCCTCTGCTCAGGGTCTTGTCCCTCATTTGGTTTCCTTCTGACCCTCTCCCCTTCTCTTCCCTGGACTCTATCGTGCCTGTCTATCATCTCCGTCCAATATCCTTTCCATTCCTCCACATCCCTAGTTATCCTCTGACTCTCTCCTATTTCCCCCCAGGTGGTACCATGGGCATCTATCCGGCTCAGCAGCTGAGTCTCTGCTCCAGGCCAAGGCCATCCCTTGGACCTTCCTGGTGCGAGAGAGCCTCAGCAAACCTGGTGACTTCGTTCTGTCAGTCCTGACTGACCAACCCAAACCCGGGGCCGAGGCCCCTCCACTTGGGGCTGCCAGTACCCCTGGCACCCGGCTCAAAGTCACCCATATCAAGATCATGTGTGAGGTGAGAAGGATGGCAGGGGCGGGGGGGAGGGAACAAATGGGAGGTGAAAGAAAGACATCTGTCTCTGCTGATCACTGCTTGGTTCTTTTTCACCATGAGGAAGATATGGGTCCTTCTGGAAAGTGAAAGATATCTTACAATGTCTGTGTAATACATGCATAGGGTGGTGGTGACTAACATTGTTACCCACGGATGGGGCAGATCTAAGGGAGGGGGGTGGGGTTGTAGTGGTGTGATTGCGCTCCCCTTCCCTCCCACCCTCGCCACCTTTGATTCCTGTTCCACCCAAACTTTAAAACCAATTGCCTGAGAGGAATTGTGGCATTTCTATTCAGACATCACTGAGAGAGTCAATTGACTTCTTGGCTTATTAAAATCTACCAGATTCCTGCTAATTTCTCTTTACTCTACAGGTGTTAGTGACCCTCTCTCCTTTTTAATGGTCTGATGTTCCACTATTCAAACTATCTTTCCTAATGCAATTTAGTGGTCTTGTTGCCATTCCTCATATAGTCTCTCTTCTATTTTACAGCTCTGAAGTCTGTTTTTTAACTTTAGCTAAAAACCGTAATTCAGGTTTTGTAGTATTAACTCAGGTATAGAAATGACTTAGTGAAGTACTGGAGACATTGTCAAGCTGCTCAAGAAGGTTTTGTTTTAATCTGAATAAGAGAGATATGTTTCATTTTAATGACTACAGGACTAATGAAACAATATCTTTTGCCTGTATTGACTATTTTCTGCCTAGTTGGTTGTGGTTTTTTAAAACTTTATATATAATTAAGCAAATTAATGCACATTCCAGTGAAGTTATATTTGGTTTTGCTTGATCTTAAACTAAATAATCTAGCCCTAGGACCCTAACATATTAACTGGAGATAAGTGTGTGTGTGTTATATCTGATGATGTACCACACCACCTGCACCCCCCTTCTCAAAATCCTAAATCCACCCATGCCCAAGGTTCCTTGCCTGGTCCAAGCAGCGGTTGCAGGATATTGCTGCACCCAAGATGAGGAAGGTGTCCTGATAGACATTAGAGTAGTTGTAGGACAGGAACAGGGCTGTGAGGGACTTCAGGGGGTGGAGGAAACAGAGGTATATAATGTCTTGTAGGCCAGGATAGGGTTGTTTGAAAGTAAGAATGAATCTGGAGCTTTATCAGAGAGACTATGCATCCAAACAGCACAGTGATGTGAAGGGAACAGAGTGTGATTGCAGGGGGATGCAGTGGAGACAGAAAACACTTGTAATTTCTGGCCACTTTGGCTCTGCAGAGATGTTCAGACTTTTTAAGAAGTTTCTAAGATGAGCTGCAGAGCTCACCAACACCATGGAAGTTCAGAGCTGTGATGAGAGGCTGAGGAGTCTTGTAGAAGAGGACAACCTTGGCAAGGTCCCTGAGACTAGCCCAGTGAGAGGATCCACCTGGCTATTGTTAGGCCTTGCATTCCATCCAGTGGAACACTGCCAAGCGTGGAGAGGAGTTATGGGGAAAAAAAGGCTCGTGGGAAGATGACTTCTCTGGTCTTCCACCTACTGGGCAGGGCACCGGGGGGTCAGTCCAACATGTTGCACATTTGATGGATTCAGAACCAGCTTTCATCTGATCATCATGCCAGGTGTGTGGGACATACACCACAGGACATGCTGCACTTCAAGTTCATAGGGTGGGACCTACCCAGGCTTTTATACTCCATTAAAAGTATAACCATTTTCCCTGACATTGTATAAAAACCTGTGTAGGGACAGTAAGTAGGAGCATTAGAGACATAACTCTTCCTTGCTTACTCTAGAACGGGAGATACACAGTTGGAGGGGCTGAGATGTTTGACAGTTTGACAGATCTAGTGGAACATTTCAAGAAGATAGGAATTGAAGAGGTGTCTGGAACCTTTGTGTATCTGAAGCAGGTAAATGGAGGTTTTGTTTATTTTTGTATTTTGGAGGGCTTTGCTCTCCATCCCACTCTGAGCATCTCCCCCCTCTCCCCCCACCACACACGCTACATAAAAAGGGGACTTTGCCATTTAGCTGGATCCACCCCTGTTATGTCTTGACACTTACTCTTCTCCTTTGCCTTCCTCAGCCCTACTATGCTACAAGAGTGAATGCAGCTGACATTGAGAACAGGGTGCAGGAGCTGAACAAGCGGAGCCTTTCTGAAGAGACAACCAAGGCTGGATTTTGGGAGGAATTTGATGTAAGTTATGGTGGTGCAGGTGAGGCCTCCATGTCCTTCTGGGAGACCCTGTTCCCTGTCTCATTCTCTCTCTCTGCCCCTTCATGGATTCAACCCCCTTGTATCTAGGCATTACACCCTATGCATAGGTATTCTTATGCAAGAGGTCTCCATCTGTGGTCCCTGTTGCTGTAGAATCAGTGCTATGCAGTCGCTAGTGCTGGTCTCCTCACAGCACCTCTGTGATGTAGAAAAGCACTCTCAACTTACTCATGGGGAATGGAGGCCTGGGGAGACTGAGTGACTTCCCTGAGCTCAAGCAGGGAGTCTAGGAGGAAGCAAAGAACTGCACATGAATCCCTCATGTCCCCGGCTGGTGCCCTCAACCCTAGACTGTCTTTCCTCCCTCCAGGTTTTCTCCACCCCTTTATGCCAGCTTGTGACTACTCCATAATTGTTCTCTTCCCCTTTCAGAGCTTGCAAAAGCAGGAGGCCAAGAATCTCTATGACCGGCATGAAGGCCAGAGGCCTGAAAACAAGGGCAAGAATCGGTACAAGAACATCCTGCCCTGTGAGTCTCACCTTCCTCTGCTCTTCTGTTGGGAAAAGGAGGCTGCACTTTTCTGCTTTGATGAAGAGGGCACTGCCAGACAGAGGGGCAGCAACAAATCTTAAGACCCTGTCTGAGAGTCCCTCAGGGAAACTTCAGCTTTGTTGGGGATTATTTGCCCTCCAGAAGGGCACTTGTCTGAGTACTTGAGGCCATTGGGGCTCAGCGTGATGCATTATCTACCGTATAGGGAGTGGAGGTGAACATCAGGTTAGACTGGCTTATTGGCTTGGTCCAATGCAGAAGGAAAGAGGTGTGGGTACTGGCTGGTATTGGCTGAGTTGCTGGTAAGACACTGGAACTATGGTACCCACTGAACTGATTCAGGATGGTGGAAATTAGGCTACATGGGACTGCTGGTTTCAGCTTCAGGGTGAAGGGAATAAGTATAACCAGCAGGTTCAGTGCCCCAGGTAGATATGCTGCCAAGTGCCAGTGAGCATGAGGGTGGAGTTAGGGGGGTCCTGTGGGATGCTGCTGGTGCCAGACTCTAGTTACATGCCTGGTGGAGGAGAAGGGGGAGATCCCATGCTGCTCTATTAATCCTTCATCTCTCCCCTAGTTGATCATACCCGGGTAGTCCTCCAGGGCAGGGATCCAAACATCCCTGGATCAGATTATATCAATGCCAACTACGTCCAGGTGAGACTCCAAACATGTTGCTGCTGTGCGCTGGGGGAGCACCCAGATCCTGTAGCCTACTGACCTACCTCTGTCCATTGCTCACCTGCAGAACACCCTGATCAGCCCAGATGAGCGCACCAAGAGCTACATTGCCAGCCAGGGCTGCCTGGATGCCACGGTCAATGACTTCTGGCAGATGATGTGGCAGGAAAACACGCGCATCATTGTGATGACCACCCGGGAGGTGGAGAAAGGGAGGGTGAGTGGCTTGGAGGAACTGTGCTCACTGCCATTTCCCCCCCATCTCCCTGTCTTGTTTCCTGCCAGCCCCTCCCCGCTTTGCCCTTTTTTATTTTTTGCCTTAAGATTTTCCCGATTTTTGTCCAGTTTCAGCTTTCACCCTTTCCTCTTGTTTCCACACAGAACAAGTGCGTCCCCTACTGGCCAGAGGAGGGCAGCACCAAGAAGTATGGTCCCTACAGCGTAACTAACAGCAAGGAGCACGACACTCAGGAGTACAAACTCCGCCAGCTCTCCCTGGCACCCATCGATGATGTGAGTGTCCAGCCCCAGAGAAGGAATTGCCTCTGGGCCTTGAAATATAACTGTGCCTTTAGAGTGAGGAATTTTGAGTGCTTGTTACAAGATAGGAAGCAAAGGGAAGGGCTAAGTGGTCACTTTTCAGGATGGTGGGAGGTCCAAAATCCAGAGGGACTCCCCTTTGAGATCTCTGCTGGGCCTGGTTTTGTCCAACATTTTCATCAGTGACCTGGAAATGGGGCTACAGAGTGAAATCTCCCAAGTTTGCAGACATTACAAAATTGTTCTGGGTAGTTGTATCCCAAACCGATGGAGAAGAGCTGCAAAAAGATCTCACCAAGCTAAGTGAGTGGACAAAAAACTGGCAGATGTACTTCAATGTTGACAAGTGCAAGGTAATGCACCTGGGGGGAAAAGAACCTCAATTACAGATGCACAACGCTGGGTTCTGAACGAGCTATTATGATTCAGGAATGAGACCTTGGAGTCGTTGTAGATTGTTCTTTTAAAATGTCAGCTCAATGTGCAGCAGCGACCAAAAAAAGCAAATAAAATATTGGGTATCATTATGGGATTTGGAAACAAAACGGAGATCATCATTGTGCCACTGTACAAATCTCTATGGTGTGCCTACATTTCAAATAGGGTGTACAGTTCTACTCTTCACATCTCTAGAAATATGTAGCAGGATTAGAGATGGTACAGAGAAGAACAACCAAAATGATTGGGGCTACAGAGTAACTGCCAGGAGAGACTGAAAAGGCTAAGTTTGGAAAGGCAAAGAATGAGGAGGGATTTTATAGAGGTCTTTAAAATCATTAAGTGAACAGGAAACTGTTATTTACCAAGTCCCAAAATACTGGAACTCTGGGGCACCCACTGAAATTAGTAGGAGATGGGTTTAAAACTAACAAGAGAAAGTACATTTTTCTACAACATGTAGTTAACGTGTAGTTGCCACAGGAGGTTTTAGAAGCAGATAGTATAGCTAGGTTCAAAAGCAGACTGAGCAAATTCATGGCTGATAGATTTGTTCATAGCTATGAAACAAAAGAGTTGGAGATGTTTCCTTTGCCATCTCTAAACCAATGATGGTGGATATGAACAAGAGTAATGAACAGGGGATGGATCACTCTAGATATACTAACATTCAGCATTCGGTGCTCTCCTTCTGATGTATCTGGTTCTGACACTGGGTTACATTGGACCATTGGGCGGATTCAGCATGGCACATTTTATGTTCTTAATGAATGACTTCAGGAGGAATTAGGCAGCAGTAAATGAGACCTACATCCAGTCTAGACTCTGAGTGTGGGGCTAAAGTAGAGTCTCCTGAGCCCCTCTTCCAGTGCCGCAACAAGACTGCTGTGGCTAGGACTTGTTCCCTCTCTCTGCCAGCACTGTCTGTGAAATACATTGACATGTTGTTCTCAGTCTGGATCCTAGAGAGTGAAACCCTCAGTATCCTACCTTGCTGCTTTGGCAGCCTTGGCAGAGAGGCCAAGGAGTGGCTGAACCTCAAGAGCTCCCTTTAATCCTCCATGCATTGCTGCTGTCACTTCAGGTCTGTGCTGGGAAGAGGGAGACCTCAAGGGCCAGTGGCCTTCCACAGCATTATATGTTTTTGTTCCGTAGTGTGATTTGGTGCGTGAGATCTGGCAGTACCAGTACCTGAGCTGGCCGGACCATGGAGTCCCCAGTGAGCCTGGAGGGGTGCTCAGCTTCCTGGACCAGATCAATCAGAAACAGGAAAGCATCCCAGATGCTGGACCCATCTTGGTGCACTGCAGGTGGGTATGGGAACTGCCTGTGCAGCATAAAGCGACTAAAAACCGTCCTCCCCGCAGCAGGAAGGTAAACACTGTATGTCTGTGATACTGCCAGTTTCTGACCTCTGCTTGTGCCTTCCTGTGCAGTGCTGGGATTGGCCGCACCGGAACCATCATTGTCATCGATATGATAGTGGACACGATCGCCACCAAGGGTAAAGGACTCCCCACATATCTGTGAGAATGCATTTACTTGCCTGGCAGGGCAGAGTCCCAACCCTAGTTTTTTTCCACCATTCTTAAATAGCCATTTCCCAAATTAAAAAATACCAGATCTGCTGAGAAGGAAGAAGTCATCTAAATAAATATCCCAAGGGCTTAAAGGACAGGGAGGGAAGTGGATGGGTGGCCACACCCCTTTGTCAAAGACCCTGTTACCCACAGGAATGCAAGTACTGAGCAAAAGACAGAGGAGGCTGCTTCTCCCAGGCCTGGTGGTAGCCTAGCAGTGCCAGCTGATTGGCTGTAGCAGTAGTTGGATCTCTGGTGCTCCCATTGGTGGATGTAACTAACCAATCTGTGCAGCTCTGAGCTTGCTCAGTGATTGGCACAGGGAGGCTGAGGGGCAAAAGAGAATATGGGGATACATGTACCAGAACAGGGGTGGGCAATTATTTTGGCTGGTGGGCCATTTAATGAGTTTTGGTGATCTGTTGAGGGCTGCACACACAAAATCTTTTAGAAGATATAATTTTAACAAAGTATAGATAAAAAACAAATCACATGGGAAAAATCAAACATCTGCTATAATACAAGGTCTTACTCTTGTATATTATGTTTGAGGGGGATGTGTGGGTATGTAGAGGGCTGCCCACACGCTAGATGCTTAGAGCTGGCTTTGGGTGGGGCATGGGACACGTGTAGCAGATCTTGTCCAGGCAGTGCAGTGCAGGTGCAGTCCACATCCTCCTCATCCAGCCCACAGCTGCCCCTGCAAGGGGCCGAGCTCTGCCTGCTCCCACCCAGGGCAGACCACACCCACCAGATGTCCAGGCTTCAGCCTTAGCCAACACACACAGCTTCCCAGCATGGCTGCTCCTGGTGTGGATACAGCTGCTTGGGTGCTGCTTGGCTTTCCTCTGTCTCCAGCAGCCCCTCTACCTCCTGCTCCTGCTGTGTCACTCTGGGCTGGGGGGAAGCTGCAGCTGGGTGGCTCCTGCCTCAATGTGCAGGGCTTCAGGTCTAGCACCAGCTCCTGGCCACCCTCCACCCACTCTGCCCACCCACCCATGGCAGCTTATTGCACTGGGCGGGCAAAGTGAGTGTAAGGTGGCCAGGTGCTGGAGCCCTGTGCACTGGGGCAGGAGCCACCTGGCTGCAGCCCCAGTGCCTAAAGTAGCTGCAGCCCCAGTGCCTAAAGTAGTGCAGCAGGAGCAGGAGAAAGAGGAGCCACTGGAGTCTGGGGGAGCAGAGTAGCATCCAAACAGCTTCAGCCACCTTGGGAGCAGTTGCACCAAGTTGTACAAACTGGCTGGGGCTGGAGCATGGCGCAGCTGCCCCAGGTGGGAGTGAGTGGGGCTCAACCCTATGTGGAGCACTGGAGGGGCAGCTGCAGGCCAGATCCAATCAATGCAGACCTGCAATGCAGGTGGGCGCCAGCCTGCATTGCAAATTCAATTGGTTGGCAGGCCAGATCCAGACCACGGGCCATATTTTGCCCACCCCTGTTCCAGAACCTGCTGGGATTTGGCTATGTTGAGATTTTATTTGGAAACCTCAGTCTGGAGACTGACACTTGGTGTAGGACTGAGCTCAGGAGCTCCCAACCAATAATGGCCTCTCTACCTACAGGGCTGGATTGTGACATAGATATCCAGAAGACCATTCAGATGGTGAGGGCCCAGCGCTCGGGAATGGTGCAGACTGAGGCCCAGTACAAATTCATCTATGTGGCCATCTGTCAGTACATAGAGACCACCAAGAAGAAGCTGGAAGTCATGCAGGTAAGAGGGGAACCATTGCCACACACAGTCCTAAGGGTTGCTGTGCTCCTGAATACGTTATTCATCACAGCTGAATCATATTCTGTTTCTCCACACCTGAGCTTGGCACTAAGGACATGGAGCAGCTGCCATTTACTCACTGACCATGCCTTGTTTCCCCATGATGCAGCCCAGTGTAAGGAACACTGTGCTCCCTCACATCCTACAGACTTCTCTTCTCTTGTTTTTGTCCCTGGCAGTCTCAGAAGGGAAAGGCCATTGAGTCTGAGTATGGCAATATCATGTACCCACCTGCTCTGAAGAACCCCCATGGCAAAGTCTCACGGAAATCTTCCAAGTAAGAGTGGGAGGCCCCTTCATACCTCCCTTCCCACCCTTCCCCACCTCTGTCACCTCATTGTCTTTGCTGTCCTTCCTCCCCTCCCTCCTGTTTGGTCTCTCTCTGGTTTCTCTCCACCTACATGCCAGGTTCTTTAGGCCCTGCCCAGCCCTTTCTCTGTCTTACAGGCAAAAGGAAGAGTCAACACTCTATGAAAACTTGGAAAATGCCAAAGCAAAGAAAGAGGAGAAAGTACGAAAGCAACGATCATCGGAGAAAGAGAGGCTCAAGGGCTCACTCAAGAAAAAATAGCCTTGTGCAACAGATGGAACAGTCCCCCAAGTCCTGTGAGATCTGGACTAGGATCATTTCAGGGGGCAGCAGAGGGTGCTATAACCTATGTGCCCTAATAAGATATTCCTTCAGGGATCTGACACTGTGTCATGCCCCAGCTAGTCCTTCTGACCCATTGCTTTTTCTCTCATTCCAGCTCCTCTCTGTTCTGCCAGCTGCTGCCGCCTCCCAGGACACGTTAGCTGCAATCCCCACACTGTTTCTGAACACACATTCCAGCAGAGGCAGCCAATCTACTCTGCTTCCCAACCTGTCCCCTTAATACTTTTACCAGCCAGATCAGTAATGGCATCTCTCATTTTCTCTGGCTACCAAGGTTCAGGGTCACATCCATTCTCCTGGAACTAGCTTTGTTTGTCCTTTACAGGCTCTTCTTACACAAGAGGTGTCCCTACAGGACTTTCCCTCTATTTAGTCTATGTGATAGATTTAGTGTGACCTAAATCTATCACATTTGACCTCTGTTCCTTTAGTCTTCTGACTTATCAGAGTCTCATCTACAGTTTTTAACCCTTGCCTGGTAGTTTAGGACCATTTCAATTCTCCTTTGAGCAAAGAAAGCTAGCTACTTGTATTAGTTTGCAGACAGGCAGAAGGCAGGGTAGGCACCTTAAAGACCAACAAGATTAGAGATGCAGAAGCTTTTGTAAGCCACAGCTCACTTCATCAGATGCTAAGCTAATGCATCTCTAAAGTCCCTCTCCCCTGCCTTCCGCCAGTTCTCCTTTGGTGCCTCCAGGCCTGGCTCCTGTATCTTGTGCCCTTGCACGTTCACTCTTCTGTATGCTGTAAATACTTACAGATGGGGTGTGGTGTTGGTATGTGTTCTTTCCTTTGTAAATAAACCAGGTTTTGTTGGAGTTTGGGGGGGGGTTTCTTTTTGCTTTTCCTATTCAGAACTGTCACTAAGAATTGTTGGGGTTTTTTTTAATATAATTTTAAGAAATGGGCCTGAGAGGGGCCTCCCAGGCCATTGAGTCCCATCCTTGTGTTCACAGGCAGTCATTTCCTCAAAGAATCCCTACAGTTGCCACTTCAACCCCTCACACAAAACTGCAAGTCACAATCCTTGAAGCACCAACAGCACTCAACGACAGACCATGGGTAAAAGCAGGGGAGATGAGGGCATTGCCAAGGCCTTATGACTGCAATGCCAGGGAAATAGTTGTTTAATATAAGCTCAAAGGATCCTGGGGAAAGATTATGCTCTACACTTGGGGAAGGCAAAAAAAAAAATTTAAAAAATCCCCCCCAGTCCATTCCACTCTGTCCTAGGGGTAAAAAAACCCAAACCTTTCTAACCCCAGATGTAGCCACTGGTCTAACCCTGAATAGATGAGCCAGACCCTCTAGTCAGGAACCTCTAACATTCTAAGTACATGGAGGAGCATTACCATACCGCAGCTTCAGCTGGGGCCAGCATACCAGGGCTTCAGAAGCCATGTGACATCTCACCCTATAAGCCATACTAGTCACTTGAGGGGCTGGGGTTGGGGGGGGATCTTGCCTGACCCCAAGAGGCAACCAGCAACAGCTGTGAAGCCAGGGAATACTAAATACCTACCACAGTGGTGCAAGGTGATGGCTTAAGAATGGTATTTAAAGGTTTGTTTTTTGGGAATTGGCTTATAGGTATATACGTATTAGAATGGTTCAGGATGGGCAGCAGGAGTTGATTTCCTGGGTCAGACAGTCACACAGTTTCACACAGCCTTGTGTTAGACAGTCTGTCTGCTTCCAAGGCCAACAAGGACACACAGTCTGGAAAACAGGGGAGCATGTACCACACTGTTCCATAACACTAGATAAAGTGGCACCAGCTAACAAGGCCCCAGAGCAGAAGGCTGCATCCTAGCCAGTAGTTTGACTCTGATGACAGCCCTAGGATCTGGTAGATACATAGAATTGTTTGTATTGTTTCTTTTCTGTTATCGCTGTGCATCCATACATTTGCCTAGTATCAAATGGAAAGGTTGTGGTCAGTCTGAGGGTAGGTTCCCCCCCTCTGGAACAAGGCCTGTGGGTCCTAAATCCAGAGCCAACATAAAGTACCCCTGTGGCCCAACATGGGGATTGCAAATGCAGTCAAACTTTGATAATGTCACACACATGGGACCAGCAGATGCCTGGAATATTAAGGAAAGGAGACAATAACTGGAGCTACTCATGAGGTGGCAGCACATGATGGTGATGTCATGTGATAGGAGACTGCTTCTATGCTGAACATTGCTTTGCTCTCCAAAGGCATTTATACTTGTGTGCCAATCACTGCAAGGAGGGTGGCAGCACAGCTCTGACCTCAGAGAACTATATTTTATACCCTGCTCCTTGTGCATTTTTTGTGAGTTGATGTCACATCTGACAATGTTTGCATAAAAATGAAGTTAGAAACCCACAGAAATGGTGCTATATTCAACATGACTTATGAGATAGCCGAAGGAAAAGAGCTTATAGCAGCACTGCCCCATAGCACTCAGAGGGCTCAAGTACCAGGCACTTCTCCCCTTCCCAGGGTAGCGCACCAGAGCAGTGAGGGCACACTGTGCATGTGGTACTAAACTCCAGCCAAGCTGCACTTGGACTCTTGCGATACCCTGCCTTCTTCTGAAGCACTGGACACTGGTGACAAGTAATGCTAGGAACTTTCGCAGGGGTGCACTGGTGCTCCTGGTGGTACCTAGAAATCACTCAGGTTGGCTGAAGAGTCTTGCTCGCATTGATCTGGCTTTGGCTGCTAGAGAGCACCCATCAACCTACACGTTTACAAATCAACAGTACTCTGATTTGCTCTAGTAATTGCAGGTATTGGAGTCAGCCTTACTGATCTATAACTCCTCAGGGCTTCCTTTTCCTTCGGTTATAAAAAGTAGGTCCTACATCTACCCTTCTCCAGGCCTCTGGGACTTTGTTTGCCTGTAATCCAAGCATTTGCACCCAATTAACAGTGGCTCCAAGATGTCTTGAGCATCCTGTCATTTGTCAAATGTGAATGAGTTTCCTGATGCCCGCTTCACCCATCATGAGCTACAGCCCTTTCTCCTCCCCCATTTACATTGCAATTATTTTGGGTTAGCCTTTTGTTCAGGTTGAGCAAAATAGGCTTGAGTACCTTTGCTGTTTCTCTGAGGCTTTTGTTCATATTTCACTTTCTTTATTGAATTGCTGATCCTTGATCTTTTTCCCCATTTGACATACAAAGAACTTCTCTTTGCTCTCGTTTCCTTGCTTTTTGCCTTTGCCTTCATGACTTTTACCCCTAAACACTTATATAATGCCTTTGCATGTCTTCAATAACTGGCCCTTTCTTGCTTTGCCTGTAAATAGCTCTCCAGATTGTAAATAAGTTCCTTGTGTAGCATACTGGTCGCTTGCAGTTCCTCTGATTTTTCCATGTTGGAACAGTTTGATATAGTCCTTAAGAAACAGCTCTCTTAGACTTTTTCTTTTAATCCGTCTATTTCTGGCTTGTTTCTACTAAACTTTCAAGTTCAGTGTCCTTGCTTTGCTGTTCCTATGCCTTTGTTTCCTTAGCATTGTGAATTGTCCTATTACGATCAGTGCCTCCCAAGGCCTCACCAACCATTGGTCCTATTGTGATGATTACTGCCTCACCAACCGCATGCAACCAGGTCATCCCCAAGTTAGAACCAGATCCATAGATAAAGCTCCATCACTTCCGCAACTCTCTGAAACAGATAGCTCTCTGCCACATGCTAAGTTTGTTGCTGCAGTAACAGGCAGAGCAGAGCTGCAGGGCCAAGCAGCACCTCATCTAGAACTGGTAGTCCAAGAGGGGAAAGGCTAAGGCAGTCTGAGTGGCCCCACCCACAGGATGGATGATGGGCTGCAGGGTAGGCCTTGCTTAAGCCCCTTGAACTATCAACTCCCACTGGCTTCCCCAGTCTGTGTACTGTGGTATGGCAGCACTGGCATCCTAGAAAATAGCAAGTTTTAGCATTGCTAGCAAAGCTATGTAAAGTGAGGATGGAAAGTTCCACCTGGTAGGGCCTGAAAAGGTAACCAACCTTCATTGGTTTCTGCTCCCCATCACTGCTAGGGCCACTGCCTCTCCCTCCAGCATTTGCTAGTGGCTTTATTGGGATCATGCTACAGAACAGAACCAGTTCTGCTTTGAAAGATGGTGCCCGAGCCAATGCTGGATGGTGAAATCCCAGCCCCCTAAATATTGTCTGGTGAAGATACTGTCCATACCACTCACCATAGCAGTGACCTTTAATCTTCAGCTGAACCACTGGTGTGTGGGACTGGCTCAACCAATCCTTTCACCCAGGAGCTTGCATAAAAGATGGGCTGTCCTATCACCAGCCAGCAAGGCTCTAGTTTACGGTCTAGTACTGCTTTTTTTTTTTTTTTTTTTTTAACCTTAAACAACACTTCCACTGTCACAGCAGACACTGCAGGATTGAACAAGTCACTCCCCAGAATGCCCAATACTGGGGAAAAAGCCAGGACTAGAGTAGCTGGATGATCACCTTCCCACCTCTGCAAACATGCGCACCTTGCTTCTTTCACCTCCTACCAAGAGGACACACACTATGTGGCCTGTCCTTTCTTCTCTTCCCAAACACCAACTACCTGCTCCAGAGGAACGAAGATTTCATTCTCCCTTTCCTTCAACCATTCTTAACACTCTGATTCCACTTTTCCAAGCCCAGAGCCTATTTTCTAACTGAATGCACCAGCTACACACATCAGTAGATTCACAATTTTATTCTTTTTTTTTTTTTTTATAAACTGAGTGGATAAAGTCGCACAGATGGAGATTCCAGCCATGACAGAAGCCCCCAAGCCATCCATTCATGAGTTGGGCAGCTCATTTTCCCCTCAGTTGGAGAAAAGAAGTGACCAGAGACTCATTGGAAAGAGAATCAGGCACTGGTGCTATGATATAAAGACATATGTGGGTGTTGCAGGAACAGTTCTGATTTTAGACCTATAAAAAACCACGCGCTGACAAAGATGGCAAGTCTGCCAGGGCTTACATCAGCTCCACTGGTCTCATCACCGCCACATGAATCTTCTTCAGTAACCAAGTAAGATGCAGATTAAGTTTATCACTAGGCTGGCTTAATGGTAGAGCTGGTTAATACAGAGGGAGTGGGGAACTGGGAATCCCCTGACTTGGCTATTGAACTGAGAATTCAGTGCGAGAGGGCAATCAAATTATAGGGCACCAGTGAAGGACCCAGTGAGGGGGACTGTTGGGGTAGGGAGTGGGGAAGATCATCATGACTGCTTGCAGGCCTCGCTCTGCCAGTCAGCGTAAATGCTTCTGGATGGTTCTAGCAGCTTCACTTCTTCACCTGTTTGCCTACGAGGCTGTCGCTGATGGAGAGGAAACAGAAACAAGACAGTTCAGGCTAGGGGACACGTGCATCAGAGTGGCATTTCAGACTGGATCCAGACCCTAATAACACACACTAATGAATATTCTAGAAACCATCCTTCAGTCCTGGCTAATCACTTCCTGCAAAGCCCTGTGAACCCCCCAGGACAGGCAGAAATTCAACCCATAAAAGGCAAGGCAGGGACAAACACTTGAGAGGCCACAAATCTCAGCAGGGTCTAAATTAAATGTTAACCTGGGAGTCTTGGCTCCCAGCTCTACCACTTCAACTGGGCACTGATGGCCAACTGCAGCTGGGCTGGTCCTACCCAGCAAGCTTGGGGACAGCTGCCCTGGGGCAGGACAACACAATAAGATCCCTTCCCTGCACTTAGGGTCAGTGGCATTCAGCCCACTTGGCCTGTGACATAGTCATAATGCTGGTAGCGAAGAAGAGAGAAAGGAATCCTGTAAGGAGAAAGCACCTCCACCCCATCCCCTCCCACCCATGTTCCCAATATCATCTCTATCCATCGCCTGACACCCTCATCCCAACCTACACTGCACCACCTGTAAGACTGAGGATGCACATTTACTGCTCTGTACTCCTCACAAAGCCTGCCACTTCCTGTCATTTGTACTGCCCCACCTTTCTAGCACACTAACCAACTTGCATGTATCCCTATAGCATCCCTGAGAGGCTGCCGTGTCCTATCACTGGAATTTTACACGCAGAACAGAAGCAGAAGGGCTAAGCAACTTGCCCAAGGTCTCACACAGTCTGCTGATAAGCAGGGAATTAAACCTATGCTGCTCAAGTCTCAGATCACCAAACCTTAAACCTCAAATCAGCTCATCCTTGCAGTCTAGCACTCCCTGATGCCCTGCAATGCCCACCAGCCAGCATAACCCCACATGCAAGAAACCACATACAAACAAAGTTCTCTGTACCCTACCTTCCTCTGCAGATCAGGAGCAGCAGCAAAGGGAGAGATGGGAAAAGAAAAATAATTAGACTGAGCGTGACCTGAACCCTGAGACCCTACCCAACCCAGCCACCCTGGGTTCAGCCCGGTCTATGGGGGACAGAATTCTAAGGGTCATCCCTGGTGATTGACCCCTACATGAGCAAAGAGAGAATGAAAGCTCCCAAGAGGCCCTTTGAAGAAAAGGGGCAGGAGAAGCCATCTGTGGTGGCTATCCAGGATCCTCTTCAAGCCACCCTTACCTGGTGAAGTCCACATCTTGTAGGTTCAGCACTAAGTTATCAGCTGTGAGATACACACGATTCTGTGATGCAGCAAGCTGGAAGGGACAGAGATGAGGATAGGGGAAGCCACAGTGTGAGTTGATCCTTCCCTGAGCACTCTCTAACCCACGGCAAGGGGGTGAGCAAGTCTGCCTGAAGGGTGGAAGGAGTGAGACTACTCTGCTATCTCAAACTGCCCCAGTGAGAGGTGTTGAATTCAGACTGGCTTCTTGCTCACAGTTCCATCAGCACAAGGAAGGGATGAGGTGTTAAGGGGATGCCTTTGAGGTTTTGCTGACATTCAAGGCTGCCAAAAACATAATTTTAGTCTGTATTTAAGCCAACTTAAAACTGATGAAAGTATCTGCATGATGATTCCCAGACTGATTTAAACCAGCTTGTATTGATTTATTCAATACAATATAATTGTATTGAATAAATAATTCAGTACAAAATTAGGTTCAGTTAAACCAAAATTGGTGAAGTACATAATGGATCTGAATGTAAAACATAGACACGCACACATGCATGCATGCTCTGTATTGGTTTACAAGCACCTAAACTGACTGAGTACAACTTGATTATGGCACAGCTAAACTCCTTGCCCCAGTTCTCCAATCCAGTGCCATCAGATTCCTGAGAGTGTGCTCACTCTGTCTCTTCCCCAGCTTGTTGACCATTGACCCTCAGACAGGTCGGTATATGCCCCCTTGTCCTAGGCCGTAGGATACCGGGGATTCTGGGTGGCTGCGGCCAGGCATGGGGTGCTGGGGTTTGATATAGACCTGTGTTTACAACAGGGGGATACTGGCTCTTAGCCCCTGCCAAGATTACAGATCACTACAGAAAAGCCTCACCCTGGCTGGGCAGGGCAGGAAAGGGGCAACAGTCAGGGGAAGGCATGTCACATTCGCCTTGGACTCATCACATGGCCTCTGGAATGGATAAGGGAGCACAAATGGCTAAGGGAAGGGGGTTCCTCCAGTCAATGAACTCACCGTCTTGGAGATATTCTGTGCAGCGCGGATCTTACGCAACTTGATGTAGCCTGGGTTCTTGCTCAGTGCTTCACCAAGGTGAGAGACGCACCAGGTTAAGGGGAAACTTCCTAAGAGACTCTCCTCTAAACCCATCATGAGGTTTTCTGAGAAATAACGCTGTCAGTTGACCTTTGACTTTTGGCCTGGCTGCACCCATGCCTCCTCCAAGTCAAGGGCACAGACAGGATCCTTATTCGATTCTGTGGGGTCACATCTACATATCAAATGCCTTACAGTGGCAAATGGAAGCTCCCCACCATCCCCCACCCAGATGGCGGGTCAGTGAATACATGCCCCCATACTTTGCCCAAGGCAGGAGAACCAGATGGCAGCACCAGCTACACCCAGAAGAAGGATATCATCTTTGCAGCAGTGGCTTCTCCCTCTGCCTGGACAATCTTCTGCTTCTGTTCCTGCTTGGCTTTCTCCACCAGGAACTGGGCTCGCTGCGCCTCTTGTTGGGCTTGGGAGGGAAAAGCCAAGAACATCAGGACTGTGGGGAATACCCACTTCATGGGTCCCATCCCTCCAACTCCTATGGCAGCACCATTTCTTACAGTCCACCCACTGGAGGCTTATAAACCCCAAGGCCCTCTGTGACCAGGCTTTAGGACCCTACCCAGAACTGATCTTTAATTGCACTGCCAGCCTCTCACTCTGGAACTCTATCATGTGTTTCTACTGGACTCTCCTGGCACAGCCACAGCACAACTACAGGAGATGTTATTCTGCAGCTGAAGGAGTCAAGTCTATTCAGCTTCGAGTACACAGTAGTTTCTGCTCTGGGCCCTATGGCCAAACACCTCCAGAGGCTGCCCATGAAATACCCAAGTTGTGCAGGCTGGCTAGGCTCTGACTTTGTAGCTTTATTCACGCAACATTAGATGAGAGAACTTTGCTTATTTCAAAAGAAAAATAACAAGGTGCTGCTTGTGGCCAGGGGCCTCAGCAAGACTCCAAGTTTCACCCGAGATGAAAAAATGACAGGATTCAATGCTCCATAGCAGTTGCCCCCTGGCCGTGGGTTAGAGAGTGCTCAGGGAAGGATCAACTCACCAACTTGCTTGGCCTCCACAGCTGCTGTGTACTCTCGGCTAAAACTCAGCTCCGTGATAGCCACATCATCCAGAATGAGGCTGAAATCCTTGGCTCGCTCTGTCAGCTCCCGGCGGATGAGCAGAGACACCTGCAATGAAGGTGAACAAGGGTGAAGGGCAGCAAGAACCATACCACAGGAATCATTTCTCTACAGAGCTGCAGTTCATTTCTCAGGCCTCCTACTGCAGTATCCTGAGATATAGGAAAGGGGTTGTTGAGCACTGCAGCACTTCTGCACAGAACCTAGTAACCATCAAGTTGGACCTGGCTCAAGAGTCCATTCTCCAGCATCTTATTTGACAACAGCCAGACACCGCTGCTTTGGAGAAAGCCATAACATCCTGTGTGTAGGCAGATCAATCCACTCTCTGCATTAGGTCTCATCCTCCTCTGTAATGGTTAGAAGTTGGCTTGAACTCCAAAGTGTGAGGTTTAGTGAAAAAAATCCTAGAAGGGTTATCAGTTGTAACAAGCCTGAATACTCTCAAGTGGTCACTTACATGGCTGTCTGCTTTTGTCTTGGGAAGTTCTTAGCCTCAACATTCTGTGGCAAGAAGTCCCAGGGTTTAATCACTAGGGGTGTGCGAAGCAGGCCCTATTCAATTTGGATTCGGCCCGAATCAGGGACAGTGATTCAATTTGTTGATTTGGAACGAATCCGAACCTAAAGATGTGATGCTGATTCAGAGAATCAGCGATTCGGAGATAGACACAGTTTTAAAAGTTTTTTCTACATACCCTGAGGCAGCAGGCGTGGCTTGTGAATGCTGCAATGCTGGGGTGCATGGAGCATCCCACAGGAGTGCAGGGGGGCCCCTCCATGTGCTTCGCAGCAAACCCAGAAGTGGACCGGAAGTACTTCTGGTCCACTTCTGGGTCTGTTGGGGAACCTGCTGGCCCCCCACCCCTGTGCCTCCCCAGCTTGGCAATTAGCTGCAGGGGAACCCTGGTCCCCCCACAGACCCAGCAGGCACCAGTCACGGAGGGGGGGGGGGGGGGGGGGGCAGCACGCTCCCTGACAGACTCAGAAGTGCCATTGTTAGTTGTTTAACAATGATTGAGAATTCCTGACCAGTGATTTAAATTATGATTTAAATCTATTTGATTTAAATTAAATCCACCCTGCAATCAGCAAAGCCCAGATGCATCGGAAAACAGCAGCCTGGGGACAGGACAGCAAGCATAGCTCTGCAAGTCATACCCTCTAAGCAGACAGACTGAACTCCTTTTTCTACCTTTCTATAGCCCCTCCATAAACATATCCTAACTTCAATCTTTTTTTGTAACTACACTGGTTGTCAAACTCTGCTTCATTCTCCTGCTGCTGAGCACAATATCTACCTGCTCTAGGCTACAGAGCTCTTGTGAGCCCACATCCAACGAGGGGTTGCAAATGATACTTGCGCTTCCAACTTTGTACAGCATACTCTAGGCAGGGACAGGCAAAGTCCAGTCCATGGTGGACTCCATTTCCCAACAGTCCCTACCCATGTCACTGCAGGCCAGTTTCTATGAAGGCCCCAGGAACAGCGGAGCTGTGACAGCGCAGGGCCAGTTTCCATGAAGACTGGCCCCAGCAGAGCTAGCAAGGTGTACAGCAGGGCAGGGAGCTGCTCCAAGGCCAGGATGCTGCCGCGGTGACAGCGTGGGGCAGAGCTGCGATCTGCTGTCCACATGCTCTGGAGCAGTGGTGTGGCAGGCACCAGATTGCAGCTCTGCCCCAGCTCCGGACCACACTGGCATTGCTGTAAGATCCCAGCCCCAGGCTCTAGAGCAGCTCCCCACCCAGTCACCTGCCCTACCAGTGCTGCTGGGGCTGGTCTCCATGGAAACCCTGGCTCTGCCACTCCTGGGGTCTCCATGGAAAGCAGCCACAGCAATGTGGAAAGGGGCTGCTGGGAAATGGAGTCTAGCTGCTGGCCAAATTTGCCATTTTGCCCACCCCTGCTTTAGGCAGGTCTACTCCTAAATCATCCCTGACCCAGCTTATCCAACCTGCTCTTGAAAGCCTCCAAAGATGGAGATTCCATGAGTTTCCCATGCAGTTGATTCCACTGCCTCACTGCTCTAACAGTGAAGGAGTTTTTCCTAGTATGCAATCTAAACCTACTTTGCTGCAACTTTAAACCACTGGACCACACCCTGCTTTCTGTAACAACAAAAAAAGATATTCTCCCTGCTATCAGGTCCCATCTTAATCATCTTTACTGCAAGCTGGACATACCTACTTATTTCAGCTTCTCCTTGTGTGGCTTGCCATCTGTCTTTTATCATTTTTGTCACCTGCTTCTGGGCCACCTCTAACTTCTCCGTGTTCTTTGTAAAATGTGAAGCCCAAAGCTGCACACAACACTACAGCAGAGGTCAGCAATATATGTCTCAAAAGCCACTGGTTCTGGCCTGTGGAGCTGCAGGGTTTTGCCTGTGCTGTCCCCATGCTGCAGCTGAGCAACAAGGAGCCATACTGCAGCGGGAGAGCTGTGACTACACCACTTCTCCCAGCTATACCCCCCTTCCCAAGTGTGTGGTGTAAGCACAGCTGCCAGCTGGAGAAGGAGGAGATCTGCATGGGGCTGGGGAGAAGCAGAAATAGCTTCCAACTCCCCAACTCTGGTGCAGCTCTCTTCCAGGTAGAAACTGGGCTTGCACTACAGCTGGGGAGCAAGGGGTTGAGAGAGGAGCAGCAAGGAAGGCACAGCTTCCAGCTGTGTGGCTCTGGTAGGGGAATAGGGAACCCCCTCCCTGCCACCAAAGCCACCTGGTACATGTCAGACCAACACTAGGTTGTTCTGGCCCATGGCCTGAAAGAGGTTGCTGGCCACTGCTCTAGATGAGACTTAACCAGTGCTAAGTAAAGGGACACTATAACCTCCCACAGCTTGCATCTAACACCCCCATTGATGCAACACAAAACTATGTTCGCTTTTTTGGTTTTTATTTTTTAAACAGCTGCAGCACATGACTAGTACTGAGTCTGTGATTGACTGAGGATCCTGCTCCACAGTGCTGCCACCCACCCACCCACTGGTCACCCACATTTTGTATTCCTACTTTTGATTATTCCCCCCCGAGATGTAGCATCTTGCTCAGCTAGAAGTGGGACTCCTCACTATTCAGTCTTCCTGTACAACTTGACCTCAAGTCTTCTTCCCAAGCATCAAACTTTAACCCAAGATTTTTCTTCTCCATCTCCCTATGGAGGTGGCATCAAACATAACACAAACACAGGCTCCTTCTTAGTGTTAATCAAAAGTCCATCCAAGATGTCTCAACATCTGCTAGCTTTGTGCCCAGCAGGAAAGTAACCCTGGTCTTCAGAGTCAAAAGACCAAGCCTTGCACATCCTCAGCTTTGTCCTTCCTGTGCACCCAAGCCTTCACCATAGCAAAGTAAACAGACCTGTGCTCTCTGAGTGATGAGCTGAGAAGCATTGAACTTGGCCACCACGCTTTTGAGCACCTCGTTGACAATGGAAGGTAGGACCCGTTCCTCGTAATCCAGGCCTAAGCGCTGATACATGCTGGGCAGCTCTGCGGCATTGGGCCGTGAAAGGACACGCAAAGAAATGTTCACCATTTGCAGATCTAAGAGGAGAAAGCCAGTAAGGATGCACAGCCATAGCCACCCCATAGCCCTCAAGTCCTGCAGGCTCTGCACGTCACCCCAGGACTCCAGTCCCAGGCTCCGTTCTGCCAGGGCCTCCCACTTCTGACCAGCTGTCCTGATCCGAATACTCGAGTCCTCATCCCACACACTGCCTTACCAAGACCTCACAATCCTGACGCATGGAAAACCTTTATGTTCTACTCCAGTGGAGGCCAACCTTTTTTTGGTAGGCATGCCTCAAATTAGCCCCGCATTCTCCCCGATGGCCACTTTAATCCTTTTCTCCTGCCTGCTCTGCTTTCTGTTCTGTTCTCTGTGCTCCCTATCTAATCTCCTGCTCTGCTTTCTGCTTCCTTCCCTACCTGCTGCTGTGCTGCCTATCCCTCCATGATCTGTTGTGTGCCCCACCCAGAGACAGCTGTTTGTGCTATTTGTGGTGTTCATGCTACAGATTGGCCACTCTTGTTCTCCAAAAAGTAGGCCAAGGGCCGCATCCCTTCCCCTGTCCTGGCCAAGCAGAGGACCTCACCTTTGGAACCTGTTGGAGAGGAGATTTTTCTGGGTCGAGCCCGGATATCATAAATTATTGGATACTGAAACCACGGAATTCTGTATAGAAAAATATTACATGTTACATGAAAAGAAAAGCAGCCAGTGAAGTAAGGGGGAATCAGACAGGGCTTGCATGTGCAGTGAGCTAAAGAACTGAACGACACTGGAGAAGATGAAGATGACCACGTGCTCTAGGTAATAGCCCACAACTCTGAAGACCCAAACGGGTGCTCCTTGTTTGATAGAGACATTTCCCATGATCTCTGGAAAGTCACTTACTTCTTTTTTCTGTGCCTCCATGCTCCAGCTGTAAGAGGTAGATAAAGACACCCCTCTACCTCATTAAGGCACGGTAAGGAGACCGAAGGACGCAGGCTCTGGAGGAAAGGAGCTAGAAATGCCTTCGATACTAATCCCACACCTGCCCAGCAGTGTTGGTACGTGAAGACTTTACATTTCTTCTTTTCTTAAAGTAAACAACCTTGTGACTGGGAAAGGTTTTGTTTTTGTTTAACAGAAAGAAGAGAAAACCTCTTCCCCTGGGCCTGGGGGCTGGTATGCCCAGGGCCCTCTTGTGTGCGTGACACCCCCCCAACCCCTCAGGAACTGGCTGGCTGGGTGTGGGTGCAGTGGCTCCTTGGCAGGGCATGGCCCAGCTATCCCAGGAGGGGGCTTGGGGAGGAGGACGACGATTACTGGGGCCTGGGCCAGGTTTCGAGGCCCCAAACTCGCTCCCAACCCAGGCACCTGGGGCCCCACCCAGCCCGCAGGACCAGGAAGCCCAGCTCAAACAGAGGCACAGACAGACAGACAACCCCCCCGCAGGTACCTGAAGTGCAGCCCCTCGGCCAGGACGGTGTCGGGTTGCACGCCGCCGATGCGGTTGAAGAAGATGGCGCGCTGCCCGCCCTCCACTGCGGGGACAGAGCGGGACACGCGGTGAGCGGCGCGGCGGGGAGAGGGGGGGAGGTGGTGTCGGCGGCGGGGCCGGGACCAGGACTCACCGGTGAAGACAGACTCGCGTACCCCGTAGGCGACGGCGCCGGCGCCCAGGAGCAGCTTGAGGGCGGTGGTTATGCCGCGCGGGCCTGAGGGCAGGCGGCCCACCAGGTCTTTCAGGCTCTGATCCATGTGGGCGCGGCAGCGCTGCAAGCACACGAGGCAGGGGGCACAAGGGTTGTGGGGGCACAGTCCCTGACCCCACGCGACCGCTGCTGCGCGCACTGAAGGGAGAAGGGCACCGGAAGTGCCCGACGCCTAATCGTTCCCCAACCCACCCGGGGCCGGAACCTGCCCGCCCCTTTTCCGACATGGCGCCGCCACAACACGCGGCCGGTAAAAGTGGACCCTGGAGTTAGCGCGAGGACGGAAATCCCCGCCTCCCGCACGTGGTTGCTCTTTTGGCAAACAAGCGGGGTACAAGGGAACCGAGATGCAGTTGAGGGCCGGAAGTGGCGGGGGTGAATCACTTCGTGCGTGTAGTGGACCGGAAGTGACGAAGTGGTGTTCCCCGTGAAGCTGCTCCCGGGCCCAAGATGGCGGCGCCCACGCGGCGGCACGATACGGACGCGGCTCCGGCAGCGCAAGCGGCCC